GTAAGTGTTTACTGCTTTATTAACTTTCCAATCCTTCAAAGAGATATGTTTATATTTCTGTCCAAATTTTCTGTTTTCAGAGGCTTTGCATCTCTAAATTCCCTAGGCCCTTCATTTTAAGAAGTTCATACTTCAAAAATAAGCTTTGCTTTGCTTTTCTCTTACCCCCTCTCCCTACTTTCCTCTCTCTCCTTTCTCCACCCCCACAACTCCTCATTTTCTTTCTTTCTAAATGAAAAGGTAGCTAATGTGAGAAAATGAGGAATTCCACCACAGAAATTATAAAAAAGACAAAATGTTGATCTAAGAAATAACATATGTAAGAATTGAAGGAGTTTATTAGATAGGCTTAAGAGAAGCCCACAGGAAGAGAAAAATCAGTGAATTTTAAGATGGGTCAAAACAAAGTATCCAAACTGAAAAGACGATGTGTGAGACAACATCAAAGAGTGTAACCAATGTGGAAAGGAAAAGAGAAAGAGAAACTATTGTGCAAAAGAAACACTGAAGAGATAATAGCTGAAAAAACTAAAAACTTGAGGAAAGAGATCAGTAAATAAATCCAACTGCTCCATCGACTCCGAACAGGATAAACTGAAAGAAAACACATATGCTTTCCCTTCTTCCCCCTATCTCAATCGCATCTACCGCCGTCAAACCATAACCTGTAGTGACTGAACTAACTGCCAGTTTCTTATGGACAAGCTTCTATCTTTCTTCCTCTTTTCTTTCCTCTTCTTGTCTTCCTTTCTCCTTCTCTCCCTCTCTCCCCCCTCAACCCTACTCTACCACACCTCCTTCTTCTTAAGGCAGCATGAATCCTTGCTTTCTTGGTTGGGACATGGTGACTCATTGATTTATTTTTACATACACAAATAATTGAACATATTGAGAACATTAAGAAGAGCTCCAAAGGGAAAATTTTTCCTATTGCCCTTGTTGTGTAATAATATAGGGAGCTTTAAATTTCAGTCTCAAACTATAGCTGCATCTTTCAGATTTGGCATCTAACAGTAACAGATGGCAATGTTAAAAATAAATAGAACATTCAAGTTGTTTATACTGTAGGCAAAGACAGTTTTAAAGTGTGAAACAAGCCTGGGGCTGAGAGAATTCACATCATCCTTTTCAAAATATATTAAGAATGCACATTTCCTTATGCCAACCCTGCAATGCTGCTCACAAAAGATAAAATATTAGCTTTTGAAGGTGTGCTGTCATTACATGTCATCACTAATTTAGAATTAACAATGTCATTCAGGTCTATTAATAGAAATTTATCTTCCAGAACTATCAATAACTGATTAACTTTCTCAAGTTTTTGTTGTTGTTGTTTTTTTAAAGATTTTATTTATTTATTTGACACAGAGAGAGATCACAAGTAGGCAGAGAGGCAGGCACAGAGAGAGGGGGAAGCGGGCTCTCTGCTGAGAAGAGAACCGGATGTGGGACTCAGGATGCCAGGATGCCAGGACCCTGAGATCATGACCTGAGCCGAAGGCAGAGGCCCAACCCACTGAGCTACCCAGGCGCCCAACTTTCTCAAGTTTTAAAAGCTTCTGGAGGTTATCACTATTAGAAATGTCACTTTCTCATTCAAAACATGAGAAAGTATTTAATTGGCACAATTTAATACCAGTATTAAGCTAAGTTTTAAAAACTAAGTTTACAGTATACCTCTGAGGCAGAATTATCAAAGATGAGACTTAATACCTAATAGGTTAAGTTTACACAGCAGAAATATATAAAAATAATGCATGAGAAACCACAATACATTTTTGATGTTGAATTTAGTAACCTCAAAATAGTGACCACAAAAACCCATGATCACCTCAACAGATAGATTAGAAAGTATTAGATAAAGCCAACACCCTTTCATGATAAAATCATTCAACAAAGACCTAAGATAAAGGGCAGCTATGTAAACCCCACGGCTAACATCTTAATTGTGAATGAAGGATGTTTTCTCCTAAAGTCATAAATAAGACAAAGATGGCCATTCTTCGAGGTCTTGCCAGGGAACTTGGGGAAGAAAAAGAAACAAAAAGCATCCAGATTGCAAAGGAAGAAGTAAAAATACCTCTATTCACAGGTAACTTGATCTTGAATATAGAATATACCAAGGACTCCAACTTTAAAAAACTATTAGAATAAATATTTCAACAGGTTTCAGGATATGTGACTAGTATACAAAATTAATTGTGTTTCTATCTACTTGCAATGAATAAGAAAATGAAATCAAGAAAATAATTCTGTTTACAACAGCATCAAAAAGAAAAAAGACAAATTTAACAAAATAAAAAAAGAAAATTTACACTCTGAAAACTACAAAACATTGAACAAAGTTAAAGAAGGTCAGAAAAACATCCTATGTTCATAGATTGGAAGACTTAATAAATACTGATAAGATGGTACCACTTCCCAAATTGATACACAGATTCAATACAATCCCTATCAAAGTCCAGATGACTTCTTTGTAGAAACTGACAATCTGATTCTAAAATTCATATGGAATTGCAAAGGACCCTGAAAAGCCAAATCAATCCTGAGAAAGAATAAACTAAGAGCAAAATTTACCACAAAACAAATGTAATCAAAACAGGGTCATATTGGCCTTAAGAATATACATACAGATGAGTGGAATAGAGCCAAAAGTCCAAAAATAAACTTGTGTGTTTAAGGCCAATTAATTTTCTACAAGGGAATTAAGACAATTCAATGGGGGAAGGAATAACCTTTTTTTCAACAAATAGTACTGAGACTCTTAGATGTCTAATGGAGTTGGACCTCACACCAGATACAAAAACTAACTCAAAATGAATCATAGACTGTAATCTAAGACCTAAAACCATAAACTTCTTTGAAGAAAATATAGGAGTAAATCTTGACCTTGGGTTAAGCAAAGTCTTCCTAAATAAGACAACAAAAGCATAAGTAACGAAAGAAACAATTAACCGAACTTCATCAAAATTAAAAACTTTTATGCTTCAACAGACAGAATAAAGATGGGCAAAGACAACCCACAGAATGTGAGAAAATACTTGCAAATCATGTTACCTGATAAAGGACTTGTATCTAGAATATATAAAGAACACTTACAACTCAATAATAAAATAACAACCCAATTAAAAAAATGGGCAAAGAATCTGAATAGATATTCCTCCAAAAACACACAAATGGCTAATAAACACATGAAAAGATAGTCAACATTATTAGTCATCAGGAAAATGCAAATCAAACTCACAAGGATATACCACTTCATTACCACTAAGATGGCAACAATCAAAAACACAATAACAAGGATATGGAGCATCTGAAACTCTCATATACTGTCAGGGGTATTGTATAATGGTGAGTTACTTTGTAAAGCAGTCTGTCAGTTCTTCAAAAGGTTAAGCACAGAGCTACCATGTGACCCAGCAAATTCATTCCTAGATACATACATGAGAGATGAAAATATTTATCTACACAAAAACTCGTATATCAGTGTTCATAAAGGCATTATTCATAGCCAAAAATGGAAATGACTAAAAAATGAGTTGATAAAGTATAGCAGAGCCCTACAATGGAATATTATTTAGCCATGAAAAGAATTAAATTCTGATACATGGCTAAACCTTGAGAACACTATACTAAGTCAAAGAAGCTAATAACAAAAGACCATGTATTATACGATTCCATTTATATGAAGTGTCCAGAATAGGGAAATCTATAGACACAGAAAGTAAACTAGTGGCTGCTTAGGCTAGGGAGCAGGGAAGGGTTGGGACACTGTCGCTAATGGGTATGGGATTTTTTTTTTAAGTTAATGATGCCATATTTAAAAAAAGAAGCCTATAGTCACTGCAACCGCTAGTGAACATTTACTGAGCAAGTACCCACTGAGAAAGTTTTTTTAAATAGTGTTTACCCAAAGAAGGGAGATTTAACAGAGGATAAAAATGTCTTGAAAAGAGACTAAGAATCCTGCCTCGAGTAGAACTGCAGAGAACAATTTTTCTCTACTAAACATTAAAGGTAGTCTGCCTAAAATTTTCAATTCCTAACTTTCTGTGAAGAAATAAGCTTCAAAAGAGGTTATTGCCCTTTACCTTTACCCAAATACTATAAGCAAAGATAGTGTGATATATACTTTGGGAACAGAGGTGGAAAAATAATAAGCTTTTTTCCTCCTAATTTTCACACATAGGTCCTAACACTAGAAAATACCTTATGGAAAACAGTCCAAATAAATTCCGAGGCCCAGAAATCTTTTCTTTTTCTTCTACTGGGGCGGAGTAGGGAGAAAGGTGGAGAAAGGCAAAGGAATAAAAAGAGTAGGGAGAAATAAATTTGATTACTTCCTCTTCCCTCCAAAATCTTTCAGTCTGTGTTGTTCTCCTTTAAAAAATTTGTATCACATTAAAAACTTCCAGGCTAAGTATTCTATAGAATTTGCTTAGATTAAATCACCCCAATAAAAACAAAAACTTCCATTTTCTTGATTTCCACCCCCTGAGACATAGCTTTATTTATTCATAAAACAGTCCACATATTTACACAGCACTGTGAATACACTAAGTAATGAAAACAGTTTAAAACAGTTTAAAAAAATAGAATATCTTTGATGTTCATAGTCATTGATAAAACATACATTCCCCTTAATTTATTAATTTTCAGCTAATCATACCATCTCTGTGAGTTCTTTAAACTTGTTATTTTTCTTTTATCACTGTGCTCATTAATAAGCTACATTCCTACTATAATACAAAAACAAATAATGACAAAACCTAATGGACCAAGTAGCTCTTTGAAATTATCTAAAATGTCAAATGCACCTTTGTGAAATCATCAATAGAGAAATAATATATTAAAAATCAAAACCACATAAAATTAAGGATGCATATTGTATGAATAAATGGAAAGAACAGCAAAACAAGCTATGTATTTACCAAAAAGAGAAAATCTGTTTCTTTTTCTTTTAACAGTTGATCAGATAACCACACTAATAATGTACTCACCTGGTTTTGGCACTGAGTTGGTCACTGACTGGGGAACTTTCTGATTAATTAACTCAACACAGTGTCCAGGGAAGAGTCCCACCTAAGGAAGAAAAGCAGCAAAGAGAATTCTAAACCAGAGCACAGACCAGTATGTGAACACTGCCAATTCCATTCCAGTAATGTACTCCACAGTCCCTCCCAAAGGATTCTGTTATTCCAAGACTCTAAATCACAGATGATACCAATTACACAAACAAATAATAAAACAATCTGTTGCTATGTGTATACAGAGCGGTGTATTATTAGTCCAAATATCCAAGTCTGCTTCTTCAGTTTTAGCTTTTAATTTCTCAAACTTTCTTTATACAAATTAAAATATTTAGTCTGATACCAAGCTATACAAGCAGTATTACAATTTTTACCTCTAAAAACTTACTGAAATTTCAACCTAGTTGTATTGTTGTATCTATGGCCAAGTTTTATATTTATTGTCTTCTCTATAATATAAAAAAAGAAGTCAACACTAAATCACATTCAAATTTTTTTGTGGGTGAATTTTCTCTTCATTCTCTCACAGGTTTCATGAAAAATGACAGAGTTAAAATAAACCAGTGAAACAATCACTCATTTAAAATCCTGATATTTACTGTTGCTAGTAGTATATAATAAGTGGGAAAGCAAAAGAGAAGGAAACAACCAATCTCGGTGGTAATGACGGACTCCGGCTCCGAAAACACACCACTCTGACCTGGTGGCAGAACCACTCCTGACGTTAGGTATAGAATCCTAAGGAGTTGTATTAGGGAAATACTGAGCTCACCACAGACCACCCAAATTACACAGAGATACACTGCAGAGCCAATAGAATAAATACAGAGATAAAAAGCCTGGAAACAAAAGTAAAAAGGAGATCCCTGCCAATATTTATAGATGTTTCCTTAGATAGGAATATAATCAGGCTACCATGCAACAGATGTTAACGCTGAACATGAAAACTACATCACTTTTTACATCCCTCTGTTGACAGACTCGGGAAGAATGGAATGGTCTTCCAAAAGTTATGACTCATCATGAAGTTCTGAGCTGTATAACTTCCATCTGTGTGGGATTATTTTCACATATGTATTTGCTGCATTCTTATTCCAATTTCTGGATCGATATTCCATGGTAGTTCTTAAAATTATGAAGATGTAACCAGTTATCATGAGCTGAAAAGGGGTTATTAACATGTTATCAGGTCTGTTGAAAAGTTATTTGAATTTGGGATTCTTAAAGTCCCTATACATTGCTTTCCAAAATGCTGCTTTAAGTGTTTGTCTTACTGGTGAAATTTCATACCATATTTTATTCAACGTCCTATGTAGATAAAAGAGTAGAAATTCCTCCGAGATCAATTAGAACCAGGTATGAATCTCCTTGAGAAATCCTCCTCATTCTCTCTTACACAAATCAGTTATGGTGAGAGGGTGGATGGTGTCATGGCCAATGTGTAGCCTTAATGGTAAGAGTTAATGGTTCAGTTCTGGGTCAGTTCTAGGTCTGCTGCTTACAAGGTCGGGTTTGTGACTAAGCCTCCCTGTTTTCAGTTTCTTCATAAACACAGAAATAGTACCTAGTTCATAAGGGTTGTTATAAGAATTAGATGGATCAGTATAAGCTAAATGCATATAGTAAGCACGCACTAAGTGTTAGTGTCCTATGTGCTGGCTCCCCCAAGCCTAGCGGGCTCAGGCTTCACCATTAAATGGATGACACATAACACTTACTACCTTGTCCATGTGTGGACCTGAGTTCCTTCCCTATCAAATATCATTTTTCCCATAAAATTAGAATTAATTTTGATTTATAAACATTTTCTGCAATTTTCTAGAGAGAAATGACCAGGTTCTAAACTTAGCCTGCCCATTTACTAAGCTCTGTGATCTGGAGCAAATCAATTAACATCTGTCTCAGTTTCCTACTTTGTAAAAATGGGAATAATATTAGCTACCACAATGATTTGGGTGAAAGCACTATTTTCTAAACTTGAATACTTTCAGCAAATAAAAACTAGTTTTCCATCACTTCCATGAACAAACCATAATGAATTTCTTTGGACAACTACATCATATATTAGTTACATTTGCACCTTTTAAATTTGTCTCAGTGCATTAGGTTTAGATATATATGAGTGAACATGACATTGTATACTATGTAGAGGTCCATGGTAACTTCACTTAAGGCCTGTTTCCAATCCCTGCTCACCTATCTTCCTTTAACATAAAGTATAATATCACTACTATAAAGTATAATATTACTATTAGCATAAAGTGTAATATTACTATTAGCTGAACTATTTATTCAGTGCCCAGGCTCCTTGCATCTGGGTGTAGCCAGAGCACATGCACATACAGCTCTACTGCTACTCTTCCAGCTCCCTCGTCCTGCTGTGATGCAGGTATTAGATCTGTAGGAAGCATCAGTTGACCTTAAAAGAAAGACCAAGAGAATCTTAGAAATTTCTGTCTAGCATCTTTAAGTTGTTAACTCAACAGTGACCATCAGCCACTTTTTCTGTTCACTTTTCTGTTTCTCGAAACCAAAAGCACTCCTGTTAATAAGCCTTTTAGTTGGAAGAGTTGATTCTATAAATTAGTGAAAGGTAATAGATTCTGTTTTCGTATTATAAAATTTCCATTACAAAAAAATGAGGCTGCGTTCTGTTGAAAATATACACAAGAATGAAAAAGAGAATATAACTAACTCTAAAAATACAGTTAATGAGCATTTACTTTTCTTACTCGTGCTTAAGCTAATATTTCATGAAATATAAACAATCCTGATAAACACAAAATGTCAAATGTTAAAAGTGACAGGAACTCTGGCACTATGATCTATGAGTTATGTCACCCCGTTTCATATATTCTTTCTGCCAGCAGTGACAATTTCTAAAGCTCTAATTTATACAGCTGAGAAGGGTGAGGGAAATTGGGTATATTGGCAGAAATCAAAATGAGATTCACCTATAGCAGTAAGATGGAAGAGAGAGAAAAGACCAACATCTAGAGCCCACAGGGCAGAGGAATGGGTAAAAACACATAGGAATAGAATAGAATAGAGAAGAATAGAATAGGATAGGATAGGATAGGATAGGATAGGATAGAATAGAATAGAATAAAAATATAGTAAAAGAAGAAAAAACCTTAAAGATAAGGCTGCAAGAAGTCAGGGATGAGATTCCAGGAAGGAAAAAAGATTTTCGATTTGGTAGTTTCCCCCCAAATCTTTGAGATAAAGTGAGAAAAAGCAAGAAGTACTGTTACAGTTGACCCTTCTACTCTTACCCGTAGGTTCTGCCTTCTGTTTTAGTTATCCACGGTCAACCATGGTCTGCAAGCAGACGATCCTCCTTCTCACGCGTTGTCAGAAGGTCAATGGCAGCCTAACCTTACATCACAATACCTACCGAATTTGCCTCACTTCATCTCATCACATAGGCATTTTATCACCTCACATCATCACAAGAAGGATGAGTACAGTACACGAAGATATTTTGAGAGAGAGATCCCATTCACATAACTTTTACTATATTTTTATAATTGTTCTATTTTATTATTATCTTTGTAACTCTCTTAATGTGCCTAATTTATATATTAAACTTTATCATAGGTATGTATATATGTAGAGGACAAACACAGTAGACATAATGTTCAGTACTATCCATAGTTGGGGGCATTCTCTGGGGGTCTTGGAAGGTACCCCCACGGATAAGAGAAGACTACTATGTATGCCACAGTGTGCTGGTAAATGTTGAACACCTGGTCCTTCAGGAGGAAAGGCCTTGATTTGTAGCATTTGCCAGAGTCCGTGTATAAATGCTCCCCGACCGTGGCTGATTTCAAGCCACCAGCCTGGCACAACTGAATGCAGAGCTCAAAAGAGACACAGGGCGGCCTGTTACGTAGTATTTTATGCCTTAAAGAACACTAGGTGGAAATTACTCAACAGCACAGATAACAGCAAAATATCGTAAAATAATTACAAATAAAGTTTAAGTGTATATTACCTTTATTTTTAATACAATTCACTGACTTGTAAACTTACATGCTTTATTTTTTAATTGCAACTGTGTTTCCCAATTGTGCTACAAAATTCCAAAAAAATTCACAATTTGCTCTGGATCACCACTAATCCAAACCTATATACTCGGTCCAGGACTGATCCTAACTCTAACAGTCCTAGGAATAACAGTCCTAGGAATAATAATAATAACAGCCTGACAAGTGTACAGCTCTCTCCCTGCAAGTGAAGAAGGACGGATCTGAATGTAAGACTCCAATCTGATTCTTTGAACCGTCTTCTACCTTGAGGATCGGCTCAAACTATAAAATAAGTCTGGCTACAAAAGTGAATGTACTGAAAAAATATTTTGGTACAACAGCGAGGAAATGTTAGATAAGGCACTACTGCAATAACGTAAGGCTGGAAACTTTGATAACGGTGGTGGGGGGGGGACTGAAAAAAGTCATTGCTTACCAAGGGAGCCTAATCCTAACTGTGGTTTCTCTGAGGAACTAATCAACATATAAAGGACACTTCAACACAACAACAATGTGCTTATCACTGATTTTTTTTTCATTCCTATTCTAGTGGTTAATTTATGTAATTAATAGCTAGTGAAACTCTGGGACTGTTAGCATAACAAAATACGTTTTTTATTAAGCGTAGTAAAGTAATGCTCTTACTTCCAGAGACATGCCACAGAATTTTTTCATCAACTGGAACTACGTGGCCTCAGAGAGTTTCCAATTTTTCATTTTCAGACTACAACGTCCTCTCCTCCCAGGCCTCTAGTATTCATATTTCCATGACAACTGAAGGTCAAATTCAGAGGTACTGCATCCCCTTCCCTTCATATATTTCCCCATTAGGGTACCTAGTCCCCTTCCAATCTCTTTTCTTGCTACCTAGTGTGAACCCTGTGACTGATCATTTGTACTTTAAAAAATATCAGCACCCTTAATTTCCTCATAATACTAACCTTCTGCCAAACCAATCTAGCAACCCTCTCCAAAATAAATCAACATACCACCCTATTTGCACGCCTCTGTATTGCTAAAG